AAACACATACGAATCCTTCGCCGATTTCCGAGCCGTCCTGATGTTTGTGGATATCGGAAATGTTTTTCTCTTGAAATTGTGGACTTTGGAACGTGGTTTATTTGAAGCTCATTCGTTATACTGTACTATGTTCAATGTTTGGTATCTTATGTGACGACTTCCATTGTTTGTTTCAGGAGAAGGCGTCCGGCACAGAATTCGTGTCGGGATGACGTAGTCGGGCGCGCAAATGAAGCGCTATGCCGTTGGACTGCGGAGTTTGGTGCCTACTATCCGAACGAAGGCGACACATTGAAAGGTTAGCAGATTTATGTTTCCGCGTAAATTAGTATAGCATGCGGTTTGGTATACCATATAATGTAGGTAGTTCGGGTCTCAGATGCGTATTATCAGCAGCTCTTCACGTAATTTGGCTTAAAGTGATGTTTCTTTGAAAGTGTTATATTTTGTGGGTCGCTCAAGTTCGATTTCTTTTAACGAAATACGTACGGCATGTTCCCCGTCTTTACCCTGATACGAAACGGGAACGCCGTGAGCATGGCGAGTTTTCCGATTTTTCAGTTTCTTCATCGTTCCCTCTTTTTTGCTATTATTATATCTTCTTATTATAATTTCTCTTTTGTCTTAATCAATTCGCAAATCTTTCTTTTTATCTATTCATTGTGACAGTCATTATGTTTTTCACTGGATGCCATAATAAAAACTGAGCTTGAAAAATGAAGTAAAGAATTTTTTTAAAATTTTTTCTCGAAAAGAAATTTTACCAAAAATATTTTCGAAATTTTTATAACTATGTCCAGTTTTTGCATTCAGTGAATGCAAAAATCCTTTTTTGTATCGACCACTAGCTGGATTTGTTTGAACTTCCTGGAAGATTTCTGTTTTGTTTATACAGCTTTTTCCCGCCATTTTTAGAAATTCCTCTGCAAAATCATCAGAAACTGCCAAATTTAAACTTCGAAATTGAATATCTGCATATAAATAAATTACTATATTTTATTTTTACTGATATTTATAATTTCTTTTTGCAATTCTATTATTAAAAATCATAATAATTTACATGCAGCAGCAGTTCAGTGTAGAAGGACGAGGCATAGCTAAAAGCAGCTTGCAGGATCACATTCTATTTGCATCACTAGTATGGGGTACCCACATTGATTGCCCAAGCGGTTTTGGTATTGTTTTAAATGTTTGTGAGGAATGAAGTAATTTTTGAAGAATATTCTGAATTAATATTTCACTTGTCATAAAAAACTTGTTTTTTAAAGGTTTACGAAAATTTGGTGCTTCAAAAATTCTTTTGAAAGTTCCGGTGCTCCAAGCAATTCTTCCTGAGTTGCGTCTCATTTGCAACAGTTGTCCGACTGAGAGAACATACATATGGCTGGTCAAATTGACTTGGAAAGTTAATAGGTAGTTTGAGAGCCACGCTATGAAGTGAACCGCGTCCAAAAATGCATTTTGTCATTTCAAGTTCCACGGCAGTTTTTTTAAAAGCATAGTCTAAAACCAAAGACGTACGCTGAATTTAAATGTTAATCTTTGTGCAGGCTGTGGAGGTTGCGCACCATCCAGTCATCTGACGAAAAACGCGCAAAGAGACGTTTCATCCGTTTATTACGCGCGTTTGATACCGAAGACCTAGCTGCTATTCTAAAGGTTCTTTTTTGATGTGAAAAAAGACTGAATTTAAATATTGCTTCACAAGCTGACAGGCGAGCCGTGTTGGTACCTGGATCTTATTTCTAGGCATGACTTGTTGATTCGAATCCACCAGTGAGAAAATTAATCTCTTTTAGTTCTAGGCGGTAAATTAATGTTTCTAACACAGCTGACATGCAAGAGATCCAGCTCACGTCACCTCGTCCACAAGAAATTCTCAGATGTTAACGGCAATAGCTGGTGATTGCTGTCACTCTGGTCACTACAGATTGGCCTCGTTCCCCATACAGACTTTGATTTGCAACTTTTAAAAGTAGAAGTTTAGCTCGACCGGAAGAATGGAATTATTTGGATACAGGAAAATCAGGCAGCCAAAATCTTCCTTTAACAAATCTCTCCGGCGGATTTTATTTATGTAGTGTTCTTTCATATACATTTCGGCAGCTTTACAACTTTGTTTTCGATGAGTTATCTCACTGTGGTGCTGGATTAGCAGCATTCGGAATGAAATGACAATGACCAAAAAACGCACAGATCAAGAAAATCTCAAAATGCTGAAGGCTCAGCATGTTGCTGTTGTGCTGTTAATCTCTTCCAGGGACAAGATGGGGCCAATAACAGGTTGACTACGAGGCGATGCAGCACTGATCAGAGCAACGGGAAAAGCTGTCATTTGCATAGCTGGAGAACCACTCTGCTATGTAAGAGCTGTGCAAAACATTTCAAGTGACTTTTTTTTTCAGTAAATAGATTTCAGGCAGTGCAGAGTGGTGGCCGGGATATTAAGCAGTGCGCTCCAGGACCGCCAATGGATGTGATAGAGGAGATGCCAGGTTGCTCGAGGGAAGGCGATTTGGACGACGAGGAAGGCTCACCTGAACGGCGTTACGAGGATACCGGTCTGATACCGCAGATTGATAAGCCCATGTCGATGCCTTATCTGTGCTGTAAGCTGTGGCGATGGAAAGAATTACAGGTTTTGTCTTTTATCGTCTGTGCTTTTGTGTTTTTGTCCTATTAATACCCAGAATACCAAGACCATCCGGACAATAGTGGAAATGGAAATCATATTAGAATACTCCAATAAACCGAGCGCAGTTACGCCGGTCCTTTCGGCCCTGTGCTGCTTATCTTCTCTAGTTAGTATGTTTAATT